CCCCAAAACCCCAAAACCCCAAAACCCCAAAACCCCAAAACCCCTTAACTTAGCTAAGAAGCTGAAGTATTAAATACAGAACAAATATATAATAATTTAAATATGGAAGCATCCAACATGAGTACCCAGGTTTCTGAGAATTATGGGACTAAGCTGGAAATTCAGAAGTTCTGAAAACAGATCAAAGCTTTCTTTGAATCAGTTGAGACAGATATTTAAAACCTCCGCATATTAGTGGCTTCCTTTATAGAGAAGATCAAGACAGTCCTGACCAAGAATAATCCTGTTGAAATCATAGAGGAATTCGACAAATGGATCAAGTTCTTCACGACGGAAAAATAGAAGATTAATGAAGTTCCCATTCCCTCTGATAGAATACATAAAGAAGAAGACAGGCTATGAAATTATGGTAAATGACAAAACTCCACAGAATTATCATGGCTATGGATGGGATAGCAAAAATGTTATTAACACCAGACAAATATTTACCAATATTTTTGAGTCAGAAGCACATGCGATGAACAAAATAGACCACCCTATGTATTTCAGGAGGAGGTTTTTAAAGAGCAAATTGATAAATGAAGAAGTGAATGAACTTAGAAATGACGAATCCTCCCAGAAAAATCAAGACTACATTCAAAAGTTCTTTAACAACTGCTTATATGAGAATGGAATCCTAAATTGTGACAAAGTTATTTCTATTCTCAATGCTATTCCTGAAAATCAGTTTAAATATAAGTTCTCAAAGGATCTTTTGAATGGCCCATGGTTAATAATGTATGTAAAGAAGAAGATAGTATTCACTATCAGGCTTAACATGAAGATGACTGTCCCTAAGTGAATATGAGTCTCTTCCTTTAATGAGACTACCAAGACTGGCAATGTTCTACCTCCAGAAGCAAAGTCTAAATACAAGTTCTTTAAAAGTATCAACAACTATGCTATTCACGCAATGAACACATATGTATCGTACGAGGAAATACCGATTTTAGGTTTAATGGAATGGTGAAGAAATTTCGCCAATTTTTGCGAAGAGAAATGCAAAATCACAGACAACAGACTGTACTGGTCACAAGATTTTCAGTTCATGCCAACAGACTTCTGCTCAGTCGAATTGAAAGAGAATGATTTAATCCATAAATCTTCTAATGTTTTTAAATAACAATTAAGGTATTCAATCGTCTTCTTTAGAAGAGGGGTTTTGGGGTTTTGGGGTTTTGGGGTTTTGGGGTTTTGGGGTTTTGGGG